CTCGAAGGTGTTCTCGGAATCGGTCACCTAGTCTTCTGCCTGTTTCGCCGATGTATATCTTTTTGCAATAAGTGCAAGTTATGCAATAGATTACATTGGCGGAGGTGCACGTGAAGTGATCGGTGATCTTAATGGATCGTTTAGGTCCCGATATTTTATCAGTGTTGTGAATGAAAGGACACGTTTTGCATCGTGCACGAGCGCATTTAAAAGTGCCTGGTTGGTCATTAGTCTGAAAAGAACTTCTGACCAAAAAATTGCCTATGTTTTTGTCGCGTTTGAATGAAATGAGCGGAGGCTGCGAAAAGATAGTGCTTGTCTCTGGATCGTTTTGAAGTAATTTAAAGTTTTTAAGAATGATGGATTTAACTGAGTGGTTGTGAGGGTGAAACGTGAGAGTGAATGGAATGCGGTCGGAATCTTCCTTATGCGACGTTTGTAGTGCTGAATGTCGATCAATAAGTTCGGCGCGGTGGTAACCCGCTTGAACGACAGAAACAGGGTAACCATGTTTATCGAAAAACTGGCATATTGACTCTGATTTGTGGTGGAAATCAGAGTCATCACTACATAAACGACGAAGTCTTAGAAACTGAGAAAAAGGAATGGAATTCTTAACGTGAGATGGATGCGAAGACGAATATAACAAGTGATTATGCGAGTCTGTAGGTTTGTCATACACACTAGTGCTTAAACCGTTACCTTCAATTGAAACTTTGATGTCTAAAAAGGATAAGGTATATTTCAGAGTATGGAGAATATGCATACTGATGTTAAGTACTTTTTTCTATGTTTCCATGGCCTTCTTTAACTCTTTCACTCCTTGTGAGCACTTATGTCCCGAAATGCACACATTAACAAAAATGGCAGATTTGACAAAATTTAATCAAACCAAGTGAATGTTCATGGATTTGACGATTTTGGCAAATTGTTGTCGAATTTGTCACATCGAAATTTTGGCTCAAAATCTAAGGAGAATACTTATGTGTAAAAATAATGTTAAACACCAGAGGGGGGAGGGGAGGGGGTCCTAAAATTCTCAAAGGTGTGCTCTCTACCCCCATTACATTTATATTTTTTTAGTTGTGCCTACAGTACATGTTGCTTACACTATTTTAAATGTTTAAGTCTAGTAAGTATTTACACATTCCTGTAAGCAGATAATCTCTCATGAGCCGGCAGACAGGGGCATTTCCGAAAGTAGAAATTGGATTTTTCTTTTGTTTATACATGCTCTCTCGTAAGCATGCAGACACACAATACATAATAATTTACTTTTGCACTGAAATTTGTTTTTAAATTTCCAATCAACAAAAATACTACCTCTAGCAGAACACAACAGTAGGAACTGTGTCTATCAAATTTCCACATCTCAGCAAAGCAAACTGTCCATTCATTTGGTATTATCAGTAGTCCAATATAACAGTGGTAGTGCCACATTTATTATGGCCATGCACATTCATCATGGTGGACATCCAATTCCCAAGGGTGTCCCGTAGCAAAAGAGTTGACTTTACAGTCAAACATATATGTACCATGTGTATTACCATGCATACCTTCAACTTTCAGATTTATTTTGTGACTCAGAGGGTTCCCACTGTTCANTAAAGGCAGTTGGTCACATGTCAAAGGAAATATCAAGAATTCTTGATAGAAGACTGGAATTGGTCAATGTGACTAAAACAGACGGTGGAGACTACATATGTTCTGCTAAGAACGTTCTTAGCATGGAATCAGCCCATGCGCAAGTTATGGTGTTCGACGAACTTAAGTTTACATTACCTCCACCTAGTAAAAGCGAAGCCACAACCTCAGAAAACGTGTTACTGACTTGTGAAGCACAAGGGGCAAGAGAAGTTGTGTGGCAGAGGAAAGCACAAGGTCTGCCTTCAGGTCACGTAATTCATTCAAATGGCTCCCTGCTTCTTAAGAATGTTTCCCCAAATGATTCTGGATCGTACACTTGCATCGCGAGAAATTTTTATCGCTCCATCACAGCAACTACTGTGCTTGAGATTCAAGGACCGATATCTTGTAGTGACATGAAAACACTCAATCGAGCAACAACATCAGGAACCTATATGATTGACCCCGATCGTAAAGGGGGAGTGACACCCTTCAAGGTGTACTGTGATATGACTGACAAAGGTGGAGTTGGTGTAACGCTCATTAGTCACGATACTGAGAGAAGAACCTTTGTAGATTACAAATCGGGTGGATGTCGCGGGAAAGGATGTTACAGTAAAGATGTACGATACACTGGAGTCAGCATCGCTCAATTGGCAGCACTAACTCGAGTCTCACAAAATTGCGAACAGTTTCTTAATTTTGAGTGTACCGCTGGTGTGGGATTTTTCGAGACAGGTGTTGCTTGGTGGGTGTCACGGAGTGGAACGCGGATGAACTATTGGGGAGGAGCTACAGGACATGACAATAAGTGCGCATGCGGAGTAACAAATTCTTGTTCCAGCGGTTTCATGTGTAATTGTAGAGGCCGTTTCAGTGGCTGGAAAGAGGATGGCGGTCTGTTGACAGACAAGTCTGTTCTACCTGTGACACAAATTAGACTCGGAGACCTGAATGACCCGCACGAAAAAGGATATTATACATTGGGAAAACTTAAGTGTTATGGTGTGGCTTAACGTTACACTTCGTGAGGGTGACCGGGCCTTTAAAAGTTTTACAAATTTGTATTGACTCCTTCGTATGACCGCAGTAAATAAAGTCGCATGTGATATTGTAAACTTCATTGCCACGGCTTGTAGATGTGATCCGAATAATTTTGAGCAATCATTAGAGCTAATAAAAAAACTAAGTGTAAATTTTCCACTAGTTTTGACAGCTCTAACGCGTCATTATATACACCCGATCATTGTTACCGGCGGGGGGAAAAGGCAGATTGACAAGGAAACATCAACAGCACCAACAAACAAACGACTTAAATCAATAACGGTCCGAATGAAAAAAAAAAAAAACGATAACAACTACAACAACAGCACGAGTAGTGTCTAAAATAGATGTACAGCTTCGGCCACATGCTACCACCTTGAGCGGGTTTGCACAAGAAGAAACGTCAACAGAAGCAATTTTTGTTTTAAGTTCAGTTTGAAACTGTTTATACTTTTCAAACTCGGCCGAATCAGGCAGTTGAAGAAAGTTTTTGTTCGTTCGCCACGAGTACGTGACGTCAATAAAATAAATCTGAATTTCCCGGATGCTCAATTCAATAATCTGAAGGAAACTCTTTATTCGCGCTATTTCAAGAGGTTACCACAGATTATAAAAGTTAGAATATAATCACATCAATAATCAAAAGTAAAATGTGCAGTGACCAAACTAGCATAGCTTTCGAGTTGGCCACTGAAAAGCTTCGAGTTGGCCACTGAAAAAATAAAAAAACACTCGTTAATGAGCTAGCGTTCCCCTTGATGGACGTGCTTCTGATGTGAGAGAAATCTCTGACATTGAGAATTTTTTTGTTCGTTTCTCCAAAATACTACTTCATGTTTCTCACCCGATATGTCCCAGCTGTTTTCGTTGCTATCGTTACCATGGAACCCGCACGTAAGACGCAGGCGCTCTCGATTATTTTCGCGATTCAGGTAGATGTGGATGATTTCCACCATGTTTCCTTTTCGTTTATAACTGGTTCTTCATGGGTTGTGGTAGTTCTTCGTCGGGTGCTGTGGTAAGTGTACAAACTAGTCTGAAATCATCTTTTCTCTGCGGTGCAATCGTTCGATTGACTGTCTTCCCTTAATTGCTCTCACCCAGGTGACTGGAGATTTGTTATAATTTTTGTTTTGAGGCTTTTTTGTAGAACATTCGGTAGATAATTATCAAAAAGAACGCTAGAATTGTTGTGTTAAGCTGAAGTCGGTACCGTTTAATTAATCAGGAAGTAAGGAAAACAAGCGTAATTAACCTTAGGAGATCTAAACCACCAAAGCCCATAGTGAATTTGTTAACGTGAATTGCTTCATCCTTCCCTCTATTTATTCCTTAAATTTTCTCCCATTTAAACTTTTCTATATCTGTATATCTTGCTCGTTAATGATGGAGGTGGAATTGAAAGCCACTGATTTAGAAAAGTCATGCTCGTTTTTTGGATTCTCAGAACTATTAAAAAGGATTAGTAAGTTCTATTATATGAATCATGTTGATATTTCTGATTTGTTTACCATCAGATAACAACTCAGCAATCGACCGTGGTCACACCACAGTATAATGGAACTCAAACTGTAGGTTGGTACAACCAACTTTTCGAATATTTTTCCCCATGTTAACTGTTAGTAAGCTTTTTGAAAGTAGGTATGAAACTGTTTCTGATCAAAAATCTTTACTCGTGGGCAAGACCGCAAAATCAGCTGATATCAGAGGGTAACAGTACACTGTTACCGGAAAATGTTGGCCAGTAATGGCTATTGCATGTGAACTGAGTGTGATTGAATATAGCATTTAGTTTTTAGCACAGTGGTATTTTTCACTAGTATGCATATGGACTTACATGAAATTTATCAGCAAAATTTCCATTTGTTTTCACATTTTGTCCAGTAATGCCCCTGTTATGCTATATAACAAATCATCTAAATTTAATTGTTTCCTGTGGAAAAATTTATTATTCTGTTTGTCTCACCTTCTGCCTCACTCAGGAAACATTGATATTCTCAAGAAACAAAATCAACTGTTTCATTCAGGACCATTTTTTAAATCTTAAATTAATTTTTTTTTATCCATTTTCAGCGCAATATCCATCATCTTACCCACAACAAGCAGTCTAACCCCAACAACGTGGACCACCACCACCTTACTACAGCCAGCGTTATCCTGGTCAGCCTGTGGGATATGGAACCCCTGGGGTCATTCAGCAATCCCAGACAGTTGTGGTCCAGGACAGAGATAGAGGTGGAGACCTCTTGGTTGGAATGGCAGCTGGTGCAGTAATGGCAAATGCTCTACACGGACCTCATTATTACGGGCATGGGTCACAAATCCACATACATGATCATGACCACTTCCATAGCGGGGGAGATCACTTTCATGAGCACCATCACTATGGAGGTCCTGAGTATCATGAACATTATGGTGACACGGGTGGGTTTGATGGTGGTGGTGGATTTGATGATGGTGGTGGATTTGATGGGGGAGGCTTTGATGATGGAGGAGGGTTTGATTAAACTAAAGTTACATGTTCTAGATGAATGTAAAGACTGCACAAATACAAAAAGTAGCCAGTAGATATTGGGATTTCTATCAGTCAGCCAACAAGGGGCAAAATTCACTGTATAAATTATATCTAACCATGTTGCCCCCCTTATGAAATTAAGAACACTGGAATAAAAATTGCACTTTCCTTAGCTGCAAACTTATTGAAACCACTCAGAGAAATAGCCTGAAATAAGACAAGGTGCTAGCTTTGAATGAAAGATGACTAACTAAATGCCCTAGACATGTACTAGTAACTTTTGTCAATAAGCCATGCTATAACTACTGGAAGCTTATAACCTAGCTGGCTCATATGCTTCTGTTACTACTTAAACTATTTGTATGGATTATCTGAGGTATCCTTTTAGAACAGAGTAGAGGTCTTTTCTTTTGCAAAAATGGTCTCTGCTTTCTCAGGCTTCATTTAAGTTTTTGTGTTCGTAAATCATTTTAAGTTCTTTTATCCTACATATATGTAAAAAGGCTGATAGTTTCTAAAGAAACTGTTTGGGGCTGCATCGGTAGGGGTAACGAAATAATTTGAATATATCAACAAAGTTGAAATGGTAAATTGGCCACCGTTATGTCAGCTTTTATAATTGTAACAGTGGCCAATTTACCATTTCAACGTTGTTGATATATTCAAATTACTACATATATGTAGATTGAAATTTAATATGAGGTACTTTTGAAAGTTGTGATAAACTTACTAAGATGCAAAAAGAGAACAAAATACATTCTGTTGATGTAGTTATAAAAGTATGTCACTGTATTCGTTGTGAATGCATTTCCTCCTTAGTAGGGAAGTATGACTACCGCTGTATTTATTGAGTACTTGAATTTGTTGTTAGTATGTGGAGAAATCAATGTAATACTAACCATTAAAATTCATGCAATTACATATAGAAAAATGTATTTTGTAGGTTGTTGATACTTCAATCATCACTTTGTAAATACATGACTATAAAATGGTACACGAATGAGTGTATATTGTTGTCCAGTTATTTAATAGGTATTGTGTTAAAACTATAGGGTGTTAGATTTAATCTGTGAAAAATTAAATTTACCCTCTCAAATCATCATTGGTTTTTAGTCACATTTTTTTTTAATTTGAATGCATTGAATACATATAGCTTGACCTAGCAGAAGTGGTAAGATGTTATTATTCCAACATTTTCCCCAACGGAGTTAAAAGGACAAAAATACATGTAGAGTACATAATTATAACTTTTGTCCAATGATTTCAGTCAGAAAAGATGTGTGATGGAGGCCCATTTGGTAGGATCATTTACTTTTTCATCACTTTTTTCTCTTATACAGTACGTGAATGTACAATTGTACTAAATCAGTTGCTGGAAAGTTTTAAGTTTAACCCCATCTAATTTTAAATCAAAGCCTTAGTCCCAAGGGCAATTTATCATTTTCATCATTATTTTCTTTATCCAATAACTGTTTGCATAATGAAGTACAAGGTTGTATGGAAAATCTCTCCTGGATGTGTAATTATTGATCTGCATATTCACTTGAAACAGTTGAAATAATGACGACAACAGTTATTAGCATACATTTCTCAAGTCTCAATGTGTGTAATGGTTGAATGTCACAGCAGGTTATGTTGGGCTTTGATGTAAAAATAAAAAAAACTAAGAACTTTCAGCAACAATGATCATCAAACTGTAGAAGTTACTGAGACATGTACCAATAAAAATATTTACTTGGAAAATATCAAACCCTTTAAATGTCTCCAACATATCCCTAAAAGTTTATCAAGGTTGATTGGGGCTTTTGAGTGATTTTATCAGTTTGTTCTTGTTATATCCTTAATTGATCTTCTTATTCATTTATTTTTGTTTTCAGGTGACAAGCGTGGGAACAGTAAAATTCTCTTTCCAGAATATGAACTAGTAATTGAGACAGAACCAGATGAAAATGAGGAAATTGAGAAAAGTGAAAAGGACAGATTAGATGAATTCAAACAGTTTATGAAAACAAATGAGCTGCTCACAGATATGGGAAGTGACAAAGAATTAGAATCCTTAGCTTCCCTTGGAAAGGAAGCTTTACTTGCCGATAAACAGTTTAGGAAATTCAAAAAGAGAATTGCCAGAGAACCCAAACAGGTCTGTTAACCCTTTCCACACTATTATCAGTAACCAAAATTCTCCCTACTGTTCTCTATACATTTCCTAACATGATGACAAGGTGAATTTGTTGAACAATCAAGAGCTTCTTTGGTTGGTGATGACCTACTTTATTCTCATAATATTAACATGTGATTGAGGGGTGATATTGTTAGGAGAAATTTGATGTTGGTCACTCTGGGGGATTAAAGAGTTAAATAGAGAGCAAGAAAAAAATTGAACAACTCCCCCTCTACCTTCATTGAGCACTTGTTTGTTGTACCTGGTTAAGTCTGTAAATTAGTTTTTGGGCTGCAGAGATACAGTAAACACCCGCATATAAGAATGCATGGATTAAGAACATCAGGCTGAAATTTTGCAAATAAAGCACCATTTTTATAAGAACAAAATCAGCCTGGAAATATAAAATGTTCTTATAAAATGGATAAGACATTAACATGCCCTTCATGTTAGATGTATTTTCTTGTTCTGTTCACTAGTTAACTATCAATAAGGCTGATTTTATTTTGCAGGCTAATTGTTACAATAATGTCACGATATTTATTAATTTTCTTTTTCATTAAATATGCTAATTTAATCTCAAGCATTGTTTTGCATTGTTACAGTTCTGAATTCCAACAACAAAATTTAAGAAAAATTAAAGAACACCTTCTGGCTGATTTTTCACTAAGCACCCGATAAATAAGAACCTGATCAGCCAGGCCTCCAAAATTATGTGTTCTTATATGCAGGTGTTTACTGTATTTTATATTAATTTATCTCTTGTCTAAAGCACGCAGCCCAAAGACGTTTTCCCTCACGTTATACTTGATCAGCTTCGCTTGTTTCTCCCTAAAACCCCACTATATAATGTGCTCTTCTTCCTGTGGGCAAAACTTAATACAATACTGAGGGGGGAGGGGTAGGGTAGTAACCTGCATGGGAATAACATCTCACTTTTTTGGAGGGAGTAACAATTCTCACAGACGCTTTTGGCAACGAATGCTGGGATAAGCACTGGCATTGTGAGCATCTTGGCATTACTGCTGACTTTTCCCTTTTTAACCATCTTGTTTAAGAGGCAGATCTTCCAGACTACAGTACCTTTTCCCTCACCATATCAATCACCTTTGAAAGATGAAGTAGTGTAAATATTACTCAGTCAGAGCACATGTGAGAATGCTTGGAATTCAACCCTTTTAAATGGGAATTTCTTTGGTGAGCTTATATTAGTAAAACACCAAAACATTTTGTGATAGTTGTCCTGTTTTGTCCTTTAGGTTTTGCGCTATCACCAAAATGGTGAACCACTCTGGGTCTCTGATGAAGGCAAGCCCAGCAAAGATGACATTCCAAGATGTAAATGTGGGTCTGAAAGGGTGTTTGAATTTCAGGTGATAATGATGGTAACATTATTTTGTGCCCTTTGGAAACCTTGATAATAGTACTGTGTGTTACAATTTATATGTGGTATTTAAAACAAAATCTGATTTAACTCTTTAACTCTTTCTGCACATGTAGTGTGTTTTGTTGTGGCCAATGTTTTAAACGGAAAATTCTCTTTTTTTAATAAATAATATTGCATACAGAAAATTCTTTCACAGGAATGAAGAACCCACTAAAATTTTCCTTTCACCCAGCAGGTGGCTTTATACAACTCGGTTGATGGTAACCCTCAACTAGTATCTGTGGGGAGCATTTCCCAATTCTGAGAAAACCTGACTTCTTTTCTGCAGTTCTATTCAATTGCAGCTCATCTGGGAAAATCATTAATGAACTTGAAAGCATTGATTCATAATTCCCAATATTGCAATTCAGTATTGTACAAATATTTGTTCGGTTAACACCATGGAGTTGATAAGAGATTAAATATTTCTTCCCCTGATGTTGGCTGAATATTGCAACAATATGGTGAGGAAAAATTTACTTGTTAACCACCTCAGGGAGCTTAAAGGTTTGGAAAAAAACCCACTGTGATGTTGGTGATAGCAATTACTGGTATTTCTATCAGTTTTTTGATAAGAAAATTGTCAGGTCAATACTACATTTTTTTTTCTTTTACTGATCTTAGTAATGATTGTTATTTTTTCTTTCATTGATCTTATTAAAGATTGCTTTTTAATTTCCTTTTCAGATTATGCCTCAGTTGCTAAACTATTTGCATGTGGACAGTCTTGAAGAAAGTGCTGATTGGGGAACATTACTTGTGTACACTTGTGCTCAAAGTTGTGGTGATGGAAGTTCATATCAAACTGAGTATATCTGGAAACAAAACTTTGCAGACACAGGGATACCAATTACTGCTTTAGGAACTGGTTGAGGGGTTTCAGAGTTTCATACTAACCATGTTCACAGGCACAACTATTTATTGCATGAAAATTAATTTTTGCCTGGTTTCCTTTTTTTCTTACATGTATTTAGTGAAACTGGTCAGTCATTGATTTCTCAATCTTCTCATTATTGCCAGATTTATAAATTAAATGACAATTATAAAGTTATGACTGGTATCTCTTTTTATTCACCAACACATACATGTACAACATACCTTGTGGTTTACATGTACATTTTCTTTGCTTTTTAAAAAGTTCAAACCAAAGAAATATTTTAATCACAAACTTTGTTTGTTTCATCTTAACATATACTTTCATAATGAATAATTATAGTACATTTTATGATCAGTTGGCAGAAAGAAGTAGTTGTCTTTCTGAAAACAAAAACAAGACAAAGCCACATTAAACAGCATTACATTCCCACAAACCAGCATAGTTTCAGGGCTCGACACTAATTTTTCAACTTACTAGCCAAGTGGCTAGTGACATCGTAGATGATTTTAGATGTTACGACAATTTCAGTCTGTTTACTAGCCAAACTGGGTGGTGGAAATTGAAAACCACTAGCCAAAACTGAATATCTACTAGTTTGTGGCTAGTGGGCTACTGTTATTGTTGAGCCCTGAGTTTAAGTTCTGACTGTTACATGGCTTTTTCTCTACTAGCATCTACAGTCTGTTTGTTTATGAAATAAATGAAAATCACATACTTACTGGGTTTAGTCTGTACAACCTTTTCAAAGTATTGAGGTGGGAGAAATCCTTGTTCATTACCAGGACAAAGAATCACATTGTTGGCTGATAGATAAAATCTGAAGCCATCTGAATGAAAAAAGAAATGTATAAATTAATTCTAGGCAGGTATTTTGATTCAAGAACACTTTGCATTGTGGCCTTAGCCATTAACCCTTTAACTCCCTAGATCTGATTGTTAATTCTCCCCTCTAACTGCTATACATTTCCTTGTAAATTGGTTATGAGAATTTGGTGTTCAATCAAGGTAACAACTCTCACCTGATAAGTTTGAGTATTCTCATTACCTGTTTGCTGGATCATGTATGGATATTATAGGGAGAAGTTACAGGTTAATCACTTCTAGGAGTTCAAGGGTTAAAAGTTAAACCAACATTACTTCATGTAGAGAAATTTTTTTTGGTTCAATCACAAGCAGGAGAAAAAGTTAAAATTCTACATATCTATGAGACACTGTATTACTGCTGAGCCATAGAACCTTTGGTGAACTAAATTCATGACTTGTACTGATGGAAGCAGTGTGGCTGATTCAAGTATTGAAAAAAAAAAACTGTTACAGTAAAAAGTAAAAAGAAACCAAAACCAAAACAAAAACAGGAAAATTAAACTATTAAACAAGAATGGGACATTTAATTAGTCACAAGTCAACTATATTTTATAAATTTAAACTAATTCTAAGTTACTGTACCGCTTAAGGCCTTTTTGAGGTTGATAAACACCAGGATTTGACAGCTCGAACGCATTCCTAAAGGAATATAATTAACAAATGATAAACACCACAGTGTACACTATTCAGTTATGGATGCACGCAGGAGGTTGCTAAGCACGAAAGAAACGTAAGATTCGTGCGAGGCGATAGCCGAGAGTGACTCTAGCTTCTCGAGTGCTTAGCAAACCTCTCGAGTGCATCCATAACTCAATCGTATACACTGTGGTGTTTATCATTTGTTTTATAACATAACATTGATACATTGTAGCTAAAGAGTTCCCTTTTATTTAACAAATCTTACACGACCAGAAAAAACAAGCGCGCGCAGAAAAATAGTCTTTGCATTTGCTCATGTCAGCAGCGTACACCCATGGGCAAATGGGGGATGCTAAACTGACCAATCAGAGTGTGCGCTTTACTTTGGTTATGTTATAAATGATGTTAAATAAAAGAAAACAATTAGAATATCGTACTGACTCACAGACACATGTTGAGATAAGATAACGTCACTTTATTTACATGTTGTGAAAAAAATTCAGGGTTCTGAATTTTCCCGAAACTTATCATGTTACATTCCTGACTAGCACTAATTGTAAAGCCACT